GCATCCCTTGGGCACGCCAGAAACCTATGATTGTGGGTTCGAATCCCGGTTCGCCCCGATTATGTTTCTAGGTTTGTCAGCACCATACCCGTGCTCGTGGGTTTCAGTGATAAACGTCTGAGATCTGAATCACTTCGGGCTTTCATCCCACATTAAGCTGACACGCCGTGATATAACTGGAATACTGTTAAAAGCGGCGTTAAACCCAACTCACTCACTCACTCAACCTTTCTCAATCCGATGGCCGCATCAGAGTGTGGAGACGACGTAATGAGTGTTACACTAACTGCTGTGTCTTACAGGCCGACCGGTGGGGAGGAGCGTGTGACTGTCGTGTACAGGGATGATGTTCTTCGTAATCACGTCAGACCTCAAAGTCATGTCTTTCCGCAGGACAACGCTCGTCCCCATACAGCACGGGTCTCTATGGACTTCCGCAGAGTGAATAACATTCTTGTGATGTCCCTGCCGTGATTGGGAGGCGTCTTCAAGGTGCAAGGCTTCCACATACGCTTCAGGAACTGGAAACCTTTTTGGTGCGTGAATGGGACGGGATTCCTCAACTCTTCTTCCAAAGACTTGTCAACAATGAGACGGCGATGTGCGGCCTGTATCGCTGCTAACGGAGGCCACACACGCTTTTGATGGGCACGACTGACACTTGTCATTTTTCTGTTTGGGGGCACCGTTTTCGGGGGAATTTTTCAATAAACACGTGTGGTTGTCATTAAACAATCAACAGCCATTTGTTATCAAATCTTTTCTGTTATCATTTCTTAATATTGTCTACATGTCTTTAATGGTTTTAACGTTATCCGCATTTTATGAACAGGTTGCATTTCTTTTGCTGTTGAGTATAATATTCCATTCAAGTTAGCAATCAAAACAAAGAATATTTACAGCTAATTACATTATATGGGTGTGGTACAGGAGACGACACATTAGTCACGTGTGTGGTATAAAGGAGATACTACATTAGTCACGTGTGTGGTATAAAGGAGATACTACATTAGTCACGTGTGTGGTATAAAGGAGATACTACATTGGTCACATGTGTGGTGTAAAGGAGATACTACATTGGTCACATGTGTGGTATAAAGGAGATACTACATTAGTCACGTGTGTGATATAAAGGAGATACTACATAAGTCACGTGTGTTGTACAAAGGCGATACTACATTAGTCACGTGTGTTGTACAAAGGAGATACTACATTAGTCACGTGTGTGATATAAAGGAGGTACTACATTAGTCACATGTGTTGTACAAAGGAGATACTACATTAGTCACATGTGTGGTATAAAGGAGATACTACATTAGTCACGTGTGTGGTATAAAGGAGATACTACTTTCACGTGTGTGGTATAAAGGAGATACTACATTAGTCACGTGTGTGGTATAAAGTAGATACTACATTAGTCAAATGTGTGGTATGCGGGAGATACTACATTAGTCACGTGTGTGGTATAAAGGAGATACTACATTAGTCACATGTGTGGTATAAAGTAGATACTACATTAATCACGTGTGTGGTATAAAGGAGATACTACATTAGTCAAATGTGTGGTATAAAGGAGATACTACATTAGTCACATGTGTGGTATAAAGGAGATACTACATTAGTCACGTGTGTGGTATAAAGGAGATACTACATTGGTCACATGTGTGGTATAAAGGAGATACTACATTAGTCACGTGTGTGATATAAAGGAGATACTACATTAGTCACATGTGTGGTATATAGGAGATACTACATTAGTCACGTGTGTGGTGTAAAGGAGATACTACATTAGTCACATGTGTGGTATAAAGGAGATACTACATTAGTCACGTGTGTTGTACAAAGGAGATACTACATTAGTCACATGTGTGGTATAAAGGAGATACTACATTAGTCACATGTGTGGTATAAAGGAGATACTACATTAGTCACGTGTGTGGTATAAAGTAGATACTACATTAGTCAAATGTGTGGTATGCGGGAGATACTACATTAGTCACGTGTGTGGTATAAAGGAGATACTACATTAGTCACATGTGTGGTATAAAGTAGATACTACATTAGTCACGTGTGTGGTATAAAGGAGATACTACATTAGTCAAATGTGTGGTATAAAGGAGATACTACATTAGTCACATGTGTGGTATAAAGGAGATACTACATTAGTCACGTGTGTGGTATAAAGGAGATACTACATTGGTCACATGTGTGGTATAAAGGAGATACTACATTAGTCACGTGTGTGATATAAAGGAGATACTACATTAGTCACATGTGTGGTATAAAGGAGATACTACATTAGTCACGTGTGTGGTGTAAAGGAGATACTACATTAGTCACATGTGTGGTATAAAGGAGATACTACATTAGTCACGTGTGTTGTACAAAGGAGATACTACATTAGTCACATGTGTGGTATAAAGGAGATACTACATTAGTCACATGTGTTATATAGGGGGAAAAACTACATTAGTCACGTGTGTGGTAAAAAGGAGATACTACATTAGTCATGTGTGTGGTGTAAAGGAGATACTACATTGGTCACGTGTGTGGTATAAAGGGGATACTACATTGGTCACATGTGTGATATAAAGGAGATACTACATTGGTCACATGTGTGGTATAAAGGAGATACTACATTGGTCACACGGGTACGACACAGGAAAGACTATACATTAGTAATATGTGTGCGGTATAAGGAGACAATACATTAGTCGGATGGGAAATATACAGGATACAATATATGTGTTATATGGGAGCGATATAGGATACAATATATGAGTTATATGGAAGCGATATAGGATGCAATACAATGGTCATGTGGAGACAGTACAAGGAGAATACACATACTGTAAAAGGAGATAAGGTTCCTTACGAGAGCTAATTGACTTAAGCAATTGGCCAGTTCCAAAACACCCGAAAATCATACGTGTGTGTGATTGTATTTCGGTTCATGTTGCGTCTATAATGAGCCTCTGCAATCGGCACGCACGATGCATATATCGAAGGACTTTTTGTAGACACAGTTTACATGTATGATTAGTTACCATTCGCTGTCAGTTCATTGTGGGGACAGAGGCCGACTGTGACAGTCGCCAATGTAATACCCCAACAGCTTCAAGGTATGTGATGTATGTGGATAGGCCCAGCTAAACCTAAAATATGTATCACTGAGAGAAAATCTTAATTTTTCAAGTTGATGATTTTGGTCACTTGAATATATACAGAAACGTCTTTGATCTGTATTGATGACCTGAAACCAAGGAATGATGGAGGAAAGTATCGATTGACCTAGACTTTGCATGTCTTGGGGTACATGTAGAAATGATCCCGTGGTGATGCCGGGTGACAATAGAGCCCCAGCAACGTGTATTATGGTTGTGAGAGAAGACATAATGGCTAGGTGCTAGCTCGGTGGCTTGGTTGATAACATTTCATCGTACTACGACGGTAGGGATCGTTGCTTATAATATCAAGCACGTAATCCAGACTCGAGTACTGGTATTTACGGGGCACCGTCATATGGCTAGATATCTAGAATGTATCTCAGAAACAAACACATATAGGGACTGACGTTATGCGATAGTCGATTTTCTTCAGAATTTGTCAAATTAGTTTGCATTTCAGAGTACAAAACACCATCGAAGACGAAATCTAGCAAACATCAGGGGTAAAATAATATATCGTCTACATTAATGCTATGTCTTTTTTCAAAAGGACCTACCCATTAATCGGTAACTCTTTATGGGGATTCCGAGGTAGAATATTAATATTTCCGATCAGACATTACACCGACCAAAACGTGGTAGCTAGGTGGTAGAATCAAAACCAAAAATAACTCTCTCAAACGATATTTGCTGGTCAATGTTATTTATGGAGAATGACGCCTAATGAAAACCTTAACCAACTGACCTTTGTGACAAATACAAAATCAACCAACAAGCTGCTTCATTCCCACATACGGTAATCATCGGAATGGTTCCGAGGGCATAACGAGCACACAGACCTAATTAAACACACGATCATCCGCGCAAAAACCGGAAACATTTCTCTTTATCCTTTACACAAAACCCTCACCAATGCCGGCACGAGTAAACCAGTGGCTGCCTCCAAGAATCGTGAGTTCGAGTCCAAGATGAGCCCCCCCTTTAAAATGCTCTTGGGTTTCACCAACATGATAATCACCTTCAGCATTCCCGATTTTGACCTGTCCCCCACATCAAGCTGACACGCCCTGATATAACTGGAATACTGTTCCAAGCAGCTTAAAACTTACTCCCGCTTATTAAAAGTAACAATGTCTTGTTAGTAAGGCTAAGGTTTGGTATTTGAATATAGGATGGAAATAACATTGAAATATTTGCTTTGTGAAAGGATTAATAGTCAAAATTGTAGGCACTGAGAGATACCTAAGAATCGTAAGTTCGAATCCGAATGCGCCCTGCCCACGAATTACAGATCGTGGGTTTCACCATCGTGACAATCGACGTCTAACACGCCGTGAAATAAAACACAACTCACTCTCATAAAACATACCAGTGCCTTCACTTGCTTCTACTCTTGGGGTCACATATTGAAAAGAAGGGTGACAAAGTTTTGGAGGGATATAGGCTGAATATATATGGAAATATTTTTGTGTGAAAAGATTGTCGTCAAGTTTTATTACGTTGTAGGCATTGAGAGGTATAATTTTAATTGCTTTGTTATCACGTTTCCAAGGGAGCAGTAAACATACCCGCTATCAAGCGTTACTGTCGACAAGTACAGTCTGTCGAACCTCATTCACGCGAAAGGGGTGTTGTCTACTAATGTTTAATTTGGAAGTAACATTGACGATTTCGAAGTTGTGAAATAATACTGTACAATATAAATACAATCATGCTGCACAGACCGACAAGATGCAGTGAAACACCTGCACACCCACTCATACAAACTTTAATATTTAATGACAATAGTTCCCTATTTTAAAAAATGAAACAGCCCAAGCACCATATAAAGGACGGATCTCCCCCTCCAAGTGTTGAAAAGGGGAAGCTCTGAGGACGAGCACAGAGGACAATTATTTACACAGGTATGTCGTGATTGAACATCCCTTATCAGTTGACGCAGCTGTTGTGCTATTATAATGGTCACAACGAATTAGTCAGTGTAAGGAAATAGCATTAAAAAATGATTTATTAAAGCTTTGTTTACCGATTATATTGCATAACATGTAAGGTTGTTTGGGGTTTTGTTTGCAGCGTCTGTGTTATTTTAGAATTGAATTGAGTTCATTGGAGTATGAACCTTCATAGAGAGAGGGCCAAACTGTATGAACGTCGGACCAACACTCCAAAATATAGAAAATGTATTTACCATAAATCACGCATATAACACTAAACACTAAAACCAGGTTTGAAACTAAATTCCGTGATTTTTTTACAGGACTTTCAATTGAGAACTGACAATGCGAGCCATCATTCTGTTGTTGGTTGTGATAGTCGGTGTCATGGTGTTGAGGACGAGTGCAGGTACGTCTCTGGCCCAGCCGCGATTATTTACGGGCCGCTATGATGTAGTTTAAATATTGTTGATTGTGACATTAAACAAGCTTTCTTTTTCATTAAAAGTTCTGATGTAATTTTATTAAAATTCAACATTAATATTAATATAACATGCTCGCCTAAAGCGAGATCGTGCATCATATCCTTAACTTCATGGTCAATATGTAAAAGGCAGGTTGATATAGGAGATATCTCAAATGTCTACGATATTATAACATAGGTTGATGTAGATGTTATTGATCAAATTCTGTATTTGGTATATATACAAACTATCACCGAGGCAAACGTTGAAATTATAAACTAGATTTCGTTTGTCAAAGCCAAGGAAGTTTGACTGAAGAGTGAGTGAATAAATATTTTTCGCCACTTTTAGCAATACTCCAGCGGGGGACACCTTTTGTACATATACGGGGCCTTCGGTGTGACGGGCAAAGACTTTCACCATTAGGCTTGATACATGATCCGAACTTTGTTTGACATCTGGGCAGGCAAACCTGCAGCTGTAGCCATCATTTTTTGTTTATTTATATTTGTAGATATATACATGATAGGTGTTAAAATATCGTAATCGGACGTTGCACAAATTAAGATGTCGAAATGATCGAAAAGTGATTATGATCGACGTACAGTCAACTACGGTTATAACGAACTCGCTTATAACGAACTGACGGATATAACGAACTTACTTTTTGGTACCGACTATTTGCTGTAGTTATGCTGTATATATGCTTATAACGAACTACGGTTATAACGAACTAAAATTAGAAGTCCCTTTGAGTTCGTTATAACCGAGGTTTACTGTACTTGCGACGTCCCGCAAAGGCGAGATGTTAGGTCGTCTTGCGATACATGGCAACTAATATATACGCGACGTCACCTTGATAGATTGAGTATAATCTTTTTCCCGACTTCGATGTTCACAGCAGCTGGATCGTCGTCATCACCATCATCCGGCGACATACCAGTAAGTATACATGTATATAACTAGAAAAGTTGTCCGGCAATGTGCTGAAATTATACGTTTGGATAGAAGTCCATTATAAATCTTGGCCAGATCGGTTTATAAATGATTTTCTTTTCGACAATAACTTCTGTCAAAGAACGTCATATACCCATCACTAGATAGCTTAGGAAACACTTCGTTATGCGTTTTAAATATTTCTGTAATGAATATCAGCCTCTCAATGTTTCATGAAGAACACGCGCAATTCACGTTTGTCATGGATGCATGGATGTGAGCATTGTGGGAAAAACTTAACTACTGTGATTACCACAGGTTTATATGATCCAGAATCCTTTATGTGCAGGCTGTCATGATGTAGCTGGGCCATTGCTGACTGTAGCGTTAAACGACAATCATTCCGTCGACGTCACGAGTAGTGGATGTATGCACAGTGGTGTTATTTATGCAGATATTATTGGGTTTTTTCACTTTTGAAAGCTATCCCAAACTGAATCTTTTCCTTCCTTCAGTCACCTTCTGCAACATCAGGAACGGGTGGTGAGAACGTGAGTGATTACCCGATGTTTACTTCCAATTGGTTTCCTCGGTTGTTACATGAAAAGAAAAGTACTTTTAAATAGAAATATTGACTTGGTATAAAATGAATGCAATAATTCGTTGAGGGTATACTATACATAATAGTTCATTCTTGATACATAACTGGTTGAGTGAGTTTTCAATTAAAGCCGTTTGGACATTATTCCAGTTATATGACGGCGTCTGGGCAAATTCGACTTCTTGATTAATGTGTCATCTACGATTATCAGATCAATGTTTCATTATTTCATCACTGGTGGAACATTTGTAGTACGTTTATTGTATCCACAAGGGACCGACCATTTTATATTCTGGGGGTCTGACTCAGACTCGTATATGTTCAGGCTGCCGGGATGTAACAGCACCATAGCTGACTGCAGCGTTAAAAAAACATTCATTCCGTCGACAACACACCTACATTGTAATAGAATTATGCACAGTGACTTTATTATTGCAAATATAGTTTCACTTTTGAAAGCTACCCCTAACGGAATCTTTTCCTTCTTTCAGTCACCTTCTGCAGCATCAGGATCGGGTGTTAGGAACGTGAGTGAATACCCGATGTTTACTTCCAATTGGTTTCCTCGGTTGTTACGTGAAATGAAATGAAAGTATATTTAATAAAAATATTGACTTGGCATGAAATGAATGCAATAATTCGTTGAGGGTATACTTTACATAATAGTTAATTCTTAATACATAAGTGGTTGAGTGAGTGTTGCTTTAACGCAGTTTTGGACATAATTCCAGTTATATGACAGCGTTAGGATAAATTCGACTTCTTGATTAATATGTCATCTACGATTATCAGATCAATGTATTTCATCACTAGTGGAACATTTGTGTTACGTTTATTGTATCCATGTGACTTTATTTTTGCAAATATTGTTTCACTTTTGAAAGCTACCCCTAACGGAATCTTTTCCTTCTTTCAGTCACCTTCTGCAGCATCAGGATCGGTTGTTAGGAACGTGAGTGAATACCCGATGTTTACTTCCAATTGGTTTCTTTTGTTGTTACATGAAAAGAAAAATGTACTTTTAAATATAAATATTGACTCGATATGTAATCTATGCAATAATTCGTTGAGGGTACACTATACATGATAGTTAATTCTTGATGCATAAGTGGTTGAGTGAGTGTTGTTTAACGCAGTTTTGGACATTATTCCAGTTATATGACAGCGTCAGGATAAATTCGACTTCTTTATTTATATGTCATCTAAGATTATCAGATCAATGTATTTCATCACTGGTGGAACATTTGTGTCACGTTTATTGTATCCACGAGGGACCGACCATTTCATATTCATGGGGTCTGACTCAGACTCGTATATGTTCAGGCTGCCGTGATGTAACTGCACAATAGCTGACTGCAGCGTTAAAAAAACATTCATTCCGTCGACTACACACCTACATTGTATTACAATTATGCACAGTGACTTTATTTTTGCAGATATTGTTTCATTTTTGAAAGCTACCCCTAACGGAATCTTTTCCTTCTTTCAGTCACCTTCTGCAGCATCAGGATCGGGTGTTAGGAACGTGAGTGAATACCCGATGTTTACTTCCAATTGGTTTCTTTTGTTGTTACATGAAAAGAAAAATGTACTTTTAAATATAAATATTGACTCGATATGTAATCTATGCAATAATTCGTTGAGGGTACACTATACATGATAGTTAATTCTTGATGCATAAGTGGTTGAGTGAGTGTTGTTTAACGCAGTTTTGGACATTATTCCAGTTATATGACGGCGTCAGGATAAATTCGACTTCTTGATTTATATGTCATCTACGATTATCAGATCAATGTATTTCATCACTAGTGGAACATTTGTGTTACGTTTATTGTATCCGTGTGACTTTATTTTTGCAGATATTGTTTCACTTTTGAAAGCTACCCCTAACGGAATCTTTTCCTTCTTTCAGTCACCTTCTGCAGCATCAGGATCGGGTGTTAGGAACGTGAGTGAATACCCAATGTTTACTTCCAATTGGTTTCCTCGGTTGTTACGTGAAATGAAATGAAAGTATATTTAATAAAAATATTGACTTGGCATGAAATGAATGCAATATTTCGTTGAGGGTATACTTTACATAATAGTTAATTCTTAATACATAAGTGGTTGAGTGAGTGTTGCTTTAACGCAGTTTTTCACATTATTCCAGTTATATGACAGCGTCAGGATAAATTCGACTTCTTTATTTATATGTCATCTAAGATTATCAGATCAATGTATTTCATCACTGGTGGAACATTTGTGTCACGTTTATTGTATCCACGAGGGACCGACCATTACATATTCATGGGGTCTGACTCAGACTCGTATATGTTCAGGCTGCCGTGATGTAACTGCACAATAGCTGACTGCAGCGTTAAAAAAACATTCATTCCGTCGACTACACACCTACATTGTATTACAATTATGCACAGTGACTTTATTTTTGCAGATATTGTTTCATTTTTGAAAGCTACCTCTAACGGAATCTTTTCCTTCTTTCAGGGAGCTTCTGGAACATCAGGATCGGGTTTCGGGAACGTGAGTGAATACCCGATGTTTTCTTCCAATTGGTTTCTTTTTTTGCTACATGAAATGAAAAGTATTTTTAAATAAAAATATTGACTTGATATGTAATGAATGCCATAATTCGTTGAGGGTACACTATACATAATAGTTAAATGATGACACGTATGTGCGTGTGTGAGTTTTGATTTACGGCCGCCGCTTTGGACAGTATTTCAGTTATATCATGGCGTCAGTCACAAAGATCATCAGATCACCGTATTTCATCCCGAGTGCCATATATTGTTTATGTGTATTATATCTATGATGTGGCATAACCTTTTGCTGAACCTTACCATCTTTAGTGTGAAAGATAATAACTTGAACTGAAGTTCCCTTCCCTAAATAAAAAAAAACGTCAACGCCAGAGAATATCCGGTTTCTATTATTCAGTGAAGTAGTGGAAGTTTGCGCGGTATCTCGGTACTGCTAAATGCAGCATAAAATAACACTTAATCTCTATAGGTACACCCAGTGCAGAGTTTAAAATATGATTAAAACTGGGGTTATATGAAGGATATGAGTGAGTGAGTTGTATTTCACGCCGCTTTTAACAGTATTCCAGTTATATTGCGGCGTGTCAGCTTAATGTGGGAGGAGAGCCCGAAGTGATGCAGGTCTCAGACGTTTACTATTTCGGTGAAACACACGAGCACGTATATGGTGCTGACAAACTTGAAAACATAGTCGGGGCCAACCGGGATTCGAACGCACATTGATAGGTTTCTGGCATGCCCAAGGGACACAACTCTGCACAGCGAATCGCGGCGCCTTAGAGGTATGGGCCACCAGTGCCCCCTGAAGGATATGAGTAGGTGAGTGAGTGAAGTGAGTAAGCAATATTCCAGCAATATCACGAGGGGGGACACCAGAAATGGGCTTCACACATTGTACACATGTCAGGAATCGAACCCGGGTCTTCGGCGTGACGAGCGAACGCTTTAACGACTCAGCTACCCGACCGCCCCTGAAGGATATGAAGAATAGAAGGATATACTTGCTTATTAATATATTTTACTGAAGAAATGTTGAAAACGTAATACAGACTTATGTTTAAGGATGTCGAAAGGATTTCCCTCTTATTCTAGGAGAACGTTAAATGTAAGTGTGTGAATGTTTTTACGCCGCTTTTAGCAATACTCCGGAAATATCACGGCAGGGGACACAAGAAATGGTCTTCCACATTGTACCCATGTAGGCAATCGAACCCGGATCGGCTTCGGGGAGGCGAGACAATGCTTTAAACACTGGACTACCCCATCAACCGTTTAACATGAATTGGTTGAAAGAAGGTAATTTCAAAAATGTCAAGTTTGTGATTTGAAACAGGTCCGTGTTTAAAGTATTGGAGTACAACAATCGGGATCCTGGTGACGAGTGCACAAAGAGTTCTTAATAAACATAAAAAAAGTTTGCCATAATCTCCAACACTGAATTGAACCAAAATTAGAATATCTTGGTACCTAGGTCGTGTTCGGGTAGAATTTACGACTGCATAAAAACTGTTCTACGATATTGTGTTATATGTGTGACGTTTATTTTAAGGTGTCTGGAGCACCAAGCAACGTACGTACTTGTTCGTCCCGTACGTACTCGTGGAAGGACGGGTGGCTGATTGATGGGCAAAAGATGGGTGGCTGATGGATAGATGGGCAGATGGAGGGATGGTGGATGAATGGATGGACGGGTGGAGGGATGGTGGATAAATGAATGGGTGGGTTGACAGGGGTAATACCGCCACAAGCTTTTCACATAGGTAGCATGAAGTCTTATTATAGCTTCACAAGATGTCACAAAATATGGACAATTAGAATTTGCCAAAATGAAGTGTTCCAGATATTTCTGGGAAGACAATAATTTAAGAAATTAAACGTTTCAGAACACTGCCAGCGCTGTGACGTCATCGACCTTTGGGATCGTTCTCTCCATTGTGGGCGTGGCCACCTTTAGACAAGTGCTCTAGACCGTCCTCCTGACCAACGTCACCTGTCTGAAATGAATATTTATTCAAGTGACACTTCACGACCTTTAATTTCTTATTGACACATATACTCGCAGAACAATAACGTATCTTTGTAAATGTCCATTCGTTCTTAAGTGCAGACTTCGGAAACTTTTGAGCGTTTGATGAGATTTCAGATAAAGTGAAATTCTCACATTGCGAGCCATAGGAATCCTTGGATCCATTATCTCGCTCATGGTCACCATGGTTACGGCGACGGTACTAACAGAACAGCCACGTAGTGGCCACCCGTGACGAGATCGCCGTTGACGTCTCCAGTGGTGCAGACAACACTTGTGGTGGACATCGCGTCAGTGGAGAAGGGTCCTCTATTCACAGGAACGTTTCTTTCTTCACCGATCCGATGGCAGAGCACCGTCTACAGGCGTCGAGGTGAACGTTACGTCACGCCATGCGTTCTTGAAGGCGATCGCTGTGAAGGTTGTCGCGTATAAACATAGGACCTTGGCGGAATAACAGGAAAGACTGCAGGAAAGGCTACAGGAAAGACTCGAATTATTGTGATTGTTGGAAATTGAAATTCAACCATTCAATAGAATTTTGCTATAGTTGTGCAACAGTATCTGACTCAGATCAATGTGTTTACCTGTCATGCAAGCTCCCCTGATCTGTCACCAATCAAACATGTCTGGGATGAAAGGAACGACGTTTGTGACGTCCTCCTACAACGTTGCAACTACCGCTTCGTCATGTCATTCCCTGTCTCTGTTCAACGTGTAGTTCCACGAAGTGGACACACTCGCGACTGACTGTGAACTTGCCGCTGTGACCCCTTTGTATGACACGGCTCGTGTGTATATGACAGGAGCGCTCTTCATGGACTGTTGCGCGTTACATCAGACATTGTTGTTTCCGTTTGATATAAGTTCACGGCAGTACAATTTTTTTACTCTGATTCTGTTTGTTTTTTGTACGTCACAAGAATCTTGCATTTGACAGCACATGCATTGTAAAAACCACACATTATTGTGGCACTGTCATTCGAGACACTTTTTAAAAAACAAATTCCAGTGTGTTTTATACAGTTCAGTTGATGCAGTTATAGTCGAACATGTTATATCATCAAACTTTAACATTTCTCGAATGTTGGTTTGTTGTTTTACGCCGCACTCTATCATCAATCCATTCACCCGTAGACAACGTGAAACTGTTTCAATTCACCAACTTTGTTTGTTTGTTTGTTGTTTAACGCCGCACTCAGCAATATTCCAGCTATATGACGGCGGTCTGTAAATAATCGAGTCTGGACCAGACAATCCCGTGGTTGATATCATGAGCATCGATCCACGAAATTGGGATCGATGACATGCATCAACCAAGTCAGCGAGCCTGACCACCCGATCCGGTTAGGCACCTCTTACGACAAGCATAGTCGCCTTTTACAGCAAGCATGGGTTGCTGAAGACCCATTCTACCCCGGATCTTCACGGGTCTTGTCGAATGTAACATAACTCAAGACAATACCAAGTAGGATCCATTTGTTACAATTAATGTTCAAATAATCCATAAATAAACTGTAATCTAGGTCGCTTGCTCTTCAAATTCTATCAAATCTTAAATCCTTTTTAAACGTATTAATACATCTTGGTCATCTGTTATGTTTCTTTGTAGTTACAGTTGTGTTTTGAATTGAACACCACTGCGTTGTCCGTTGACCCAACATTAGTAACTAGACAATTGTTGTATGTTGTATGGCGTAATGTATACACTGAGTGAGTGAGTTGAGTTTAACGCCGCCTTTAACAGTATTCTAGTCATATCGCGGCGTGTCAGCTTAATGTGGGAGGAAAGCCCGAAGTGAAGCAGGTGAAACCCGCGAGCACGGGTATGGTGCTGACAAACCTAGAAACATAATTGGGGCCAACCGGGATTTGAACCCACAATCATAGGTTTCTGGCGTGTCCAAGGGACGCAACCCGTGCCCCATGTAGACATTGATGTAAAACTTTGAGAATCCATTAGTAATAAGTATATACTTCATAAAAGGACAAATCCGGACGGCTGAACCCGTTACCAAGCATATCCTGGCACAGGGAAGGGATGCAATTCTGCTAAACTATTTGCCGAGCCCTACAGCACAGCATCTCCCGTTATATCCATAGATACAAAGACTGTTCTGTCGAACACTGATGGGGTGGTAGGGTAGGTTAGTGGTTAAAGCGTTCGCTCGTCAAGCCGAAGCCCCGGGATCGATTCCCCATATGGGTACAATGTGTGAAGCCCATTTCTGGTGTTCCCCGCCGTGATATTGCTGGGAAATTGCTGACAGTGGGTCCTTGTTTTCGCATATTGACCTCGTAAAAAAGTATTTTTTTGTATAGAAACTAAAGTGCTGATAGGCTATTAGTAATAGCATCCAAACATCCTACTATGAGGCAGGTTGTAAATAATCGAATCTGGACCAGACACTCCAGTGATTGATATCATGAACAAAGTCCCCCGCCGTCAGGGTACGATGACACGCAATCCACCAAGTCACCGAGCCTGACCACCCCGTACGCTAAGTCGACTCGTATGACCAGTATGTGTAGCTGGGGAAAAATTCTTACCCGGGACCCCTACGGGTAGACTTTCAAAACAGTTTACCGTTACTAATGAGTCTCCGTTTACACTCCCAATAGTATATTTCATTCAAGTCATATTTAGCAGTGAATTTATGCATAGAGTGCATGATAACCTCTACAGTCTCATCTATCCAGGGTGTTGTTCGTTCCGTCTAGTTGATCGTCATGATATAGACATTGCCAGCACTATTCCTATGGTGTCCACTAAAGTGGTAAATGTCTGAGGCTGCATGGCTTTGTGCTTTCCTTCCAAATTATGCTGGCGCGTTGTTTGTTTGTTTGTTTGTTTGTTTGCTGTATAACGCCGCACTCAGCAATATCGCAGCTATATGACGGCGGAATGTATATAATCGAGTCTGGACCAGACACTCCAGTGATTGACATCATGAGCATCGAGCCACGAAATTGGGATCGATGACATGCTGAGTCTGACCACCTGATCCCGTTAATCGCCTCTTACGACAAGCATAGTTGCCTTTTACGACAAGCATGGGTTGCTGAAGACCTTTTCTATCCCAGATCATCCTGGATTAAAACTATGTTGAACGCGTGGTATATTGTCCAAAGTACATGTACGTAAGTGACGGACTTTTTGATATTATCGAGATTAGACATTTTTTCAGCTACAGTTACAAAACCAGATAATGTTTTAATATAAAACTATGAGCATGAATTTATCTTAAAGAAAAAAAACAACATTGTATCAATGTAATTTTGTGGAAGGCAATTTCTTTTTACTTCAACAGACTGAAACATGATTATTTTTTCAAGACTTATCAGGTATAATTTATTCTTTTCGATAACATCCCAGGACTACACAAAACCACAGACCGGGTATGTGAAAGCATTCACGTGTGTCTCATGCTTAATCGCGCCGCGCACACTCTCTGTAGTCATTGAGTGTCGAGGGAAATGCCGCCATGATATTGCTGGAATATTGCTAAAAGCGGCGTAAAACCAAACTCACTCACTCACTCACTAGAAGGGAAATGTATTGTCGTTGCCATGCAGAGTTGTGTCTCTTGAGTATGACCTCTTGAGGGTCCGCACTAATTAATATCCGTCATTTGTAAGCACCACACTCGTGGTTGTGTATTTCACAATCGTCTACAACCTGCACCCTCTCGGACTCTCCTCCTGTATTAGTGAGTGAGTTTGCTTTCATGTCGCTTCGAACAGCATTTCAGTTATATCACGGCGTGTAAGCTTGATGTGGGATGCAACCGGAAGTGATGGAGGTCCTACCATTTTGGTGAAACACATGAACACGTGTATGGTGCTTAAAAACAAGAAACATATTCATGGCTAGCCAGGGACCCACGATCATAACTTACTGTCACACCTAAGGGAGGCAACACAACAAATTGCGGCGCCTGAAATGTCTGAGCCACTCACATGTGTGCACTCTTCTATATTCAGGCAGCACAGTGATACAAAGCGGCCTTAATCCAAACTCACTCACTGACTCACCCAGACCACTCACTCACTCACTCACTCACTCACTCACTCACTCACTCACTCACTCACTCACTCACTCACTCACTCACTCACTCACTCACCCACTCACTCACTCACTCACTCACTCACTCAACCAGACTCACTCACTCTCAAGTATTACCAAACAATAACATGTTTCATGTATCACAGATCGGAAACAGTGTTTTATTGCAAAATCATTATTGTGTATTACAGAACAGGGTTTTATAGCAAGTCATTTCAGATACAACGGTAAAATCATAAACTTCAGTCTCTCTATGACTGCATTACAACATGTAGTGATTGCCAGATTGCAGTGGATGTCAATCACTGGATTGTCTGGACCAGACTCCATTATTTACAGACCGCCGTCATATAGCTGGAATGTTGCTGAGTGCGGCGTTAAACAGCAAACAAACAAGCATTACAACATGTGATCACGCGAACCCAAGTCATTGCCACAGAACGGCTACTTATAAACTCACTGTACAAAACACGTGGTACTTTGTCTTAGCGGGGAGACAAGTAGAAATGGCTTCGTTGGAATTCTTAATCATGGACAATTTAGAACAGGAAGGTATGGAAATAGGTAGAAAATGGAGACAGTGTGACGTCAGTTTGCCAGGGGTTATGTCACAAGGAAAATACCTATATTGCCAAAACTATATCCTCAAAGAAAATGAATATTTAAAACATATGAACAAAGACACGTTATTGTTCTGAGAGTAACTGTGTACATAAGAAGTTCTAGGTGGTGAAATGTCACTTAATAATACATCTATACAATTCTGACGTTCCCTTTTGTGTGATAAGTATTCTCCTTGTACAGTTGACGTTGGTCAGAAGGACGGTCTAGAGCACTTGTCTAACGGTGGCCACGCCCACAACGGAGAGAACTGTCCCGAAGATCGATGACGTCACAGCGCTGGCAGTGTTCTGAAACGAGTCATTTGTTTTCCTTGTAATTTCTGAAACAAATTATTCTTTTCAAATGTTAATCGTCTATATTTTGTGACATCATGTGAATCTGCCATAAGACTCCTCACAACATATGCCCAAGAGTGATTGTATTACCCCGTCAGTGGATCAGAGAATTCTCAGGCTCACAGAGAGTGTATTGCTCTATCATCCATCCATTCACCCGTGGACAACGAGAAACTGTTTCAATTCACCAACTTTGTTTGTTTGTTTGTTGTTAAACGCCGCACTCAGCAATATTCTAGCTATATGACGGCGGGTTGAAAATAATCGAGTCTGGACCAAACAATCCAGTGATTGGGGTCATGAGCATCGATCCACAAAATTGGGACAAACACAAGCATCAACCAAGTCGGCGAGCCTGACCACCCGATCCCGTTAGTCGCCTCTTACGACAAGCATAGTCGCCTTTTACGACAAGGATGGGTTGCCGAAGACCTATCCTACCCCGGGTCTTCAGGGGTACGATTGGAATTACCTTCTTTCAACCAATTCATGTTTAACGGTCGGTGGGATAGCCCAGTGGTTAAAGCATTCGCTCGTCACGCCGAAGGCCCGGGTTCGATTCTCCACATGTGTACACTGTGTGAAGACAATTTCTGGTGTCCCCGCCACGATATCGGTGGATTTTGCTAAAAGCGGCGTAATATCATTCTTATGCACACACTCATACTTAAACTCATATATGTGGTATATACTCACATGGTTTAATGATGTTTCATTACCTCCCTGAAGAAAAGACAAAAATCAGTTAGCTTTCAATATTGACACAATATCTGCAAAACCAGTCACTGTGAGACGATGGAGTGAATGTTGTTTATCGCCGTAGTCAGAAATGTTCCAGCTACCTCACGGCGGCCTCATCATAAACGATTCTGGATCAGACAAACCAGTGACTGAAATTAGCAACGGTCTACACCATCAGGATGCGAAGACACGAGGTCAGCCAAGCCACAGAGCTCTCTTTAGTGGATTTTTTTCAATAAGCGTGGTACAATTGGAATCTAGTCTTTTCCGAAATCCAACATCCATTCATCCATGAAGAACGTACATATGCTTGTGCCTACATAGAGGAAATGATCATGAGTAGGACATGGTTCATGCATTTCGTTCATCTCACATGCACTTCCATGTGCTATAGTATGTAATGATACGTTCAAATAAGAATCGTTGAATCATTTTGATAAAGAGGCAGTAGAACGCAACTTAAAACACAAAACCAGCATGTATAAATGGGTGAGTATGGTTTTACGCCGTTTTTATCAATAATGAGAAACTGCACATGGGTGTAGAGGCAAAAAGAGGAGAAATATCTATAATTTCATAATCTTAGATGCGGAATTTATCACTCTGATCTCATTTGCCCTGACACAGTGATATAATTTAAACACTGTCCAAAGTTAAACCAACTTGGCGTTAAGCAAAACCCACTCACCCACTGATGTACCACGAATTTACTATTATAAAAAGTTTACCCTCCACGAAATATGCTTTCACTTCATACCCAGTATATATTTATCTTTAAAAACACTTTTCCTTTCACGTCACATATAAACAAACAAACCAATTAGAAGTAAGCATCAGGGCTACACTCACAGTCGTTGTTGGTGTTGAAGAAGGTCCCTGAAGGAAAGAGAAGATTCAGTTAAGGATAGCTTTCAAAACTAACAATACATCTGCAAGCCAGTCACCGTGCATACATCCATTACACGTGAATTTGATGGAGTGAATGTTGTTTATCACCGCAGTCAGCTACATAACGGCAATAAACATAAACAAGTCATAAACAAGACAAATCGGGGGGCTAAAAGCATGAGCATTGATCCACACCATCTGTATGTGCAGACACGTGATCAGCCCCGTCACAGAGCATCACCACCAGGACATCTTCATTCAACTTTTAAAACTAGCGTCGGATACTTGGGATCTGGTCTTTTCTGCAACGCTCACATCCATTCATCCATGACGAACGTACAAATGTTTGTACCTATATTGAGCAAATTGGTAGGACATGGTTCATGCGTTTCATTTATGTAACGTATGTGAACTTCTTTGTGATGACAGAGAGCTAAGGTTCATGACAATTATTTCATCATTTCAGAAAATAGGCAAAAAAATGCAACTTACGGGCGTAGTTGAGCCTGAGCTTACCTGTAAACAAATCGTAATAATCACAAAAAAACTGACAACGTGTATAAATAAAATATATTATCTAATGTTTGTTTGTTTGTTGTTTAACGCCGCACTCAGCGATATTCCGGCTTTATGACGGCGGTCTGTGTATATGATCGAGTCTGGACCAGACAATCCAGTGATTGATATCATGAGCATCGATACACGCAATTGGGATACGATGACATGCATCAACCAAGAGGGCGAGCCTGACCACCCGATCCCGTTAGTCGCCTCTTACGACAAGCGTAGTCGCCTTTTAGGGCAAGCATGGGTTGCTGAAGACCTCTTATACCCCAGATCTTCACGGGTCTATTACCTGATGACACTCTGCACATGGTATTAGCTAACGGTGATTATCGTTAATGGTAAACGCAACACATGTATGTCAATAGTGTGATCTGGTGATCCTAGATGATGTGGTTATCACAGCGATCTAATGTAATACTGTGTCCAAAGGCCCACCAAATCTCACACCCCCACTTATGTGCCATGTAGTAACTATTATGTATTGTACCATGAATTTGGAAATTACTCGATTCTCATTAGTCAATCCGAGGTGGTTAAATACAGGGACAAAAGGTGGGGACAAAAGAGGTTGGAATTTGGCGCTTTTCTAAATACGACTGTGACGTCATATCTCTTGCGTCACAGTGAGCGATATGACGTCGTGATCATGACGTGCTGTGTAGAACGAAAGTTTTGCAAGGTTTGCTTACTACATAACATAATTTTCTTTAGGGATGCCCACCTCATATTTGATTCCAAGTTGCCGTGCTTATATGCTTTCAATGCTTTATATATGTTGGAGTGACGTATTACGATGTTAACAAACTGCTTGAGCATATACAGCCCCATATTTTGTTTAAAGGCGGTTGTCGGTGATTCCGTAATTCAGATTTAAATTTAGTATTTTTATATTTAAAAAAAAAAAAATTTTAGTATTTGAAACCTCGCGCCGCACGTTAGGTTTCAAATTCAATTGAGCCCGGTTAAATCTACAGGTAACAAAGCTCTACACTGAAAACATACACAGTATGTTCATCTCCTAATAGTGTACACGAAGCTATTTATTGCATTCATTTCATAACCAATCCTCGTAGCCAAAAGTCCTTATGAAAAATATATACGTCTCCAATCTGAGGTTTTATATATTTAAGATGAACAATTGCATTTAATTATTCCCCATTAGCAATGTGATGCGACTTAGCACAGGCTGTTTGCCTGATCTTGGTTAAAGAAGTGTTTAAAGTGTATAACGATGTGTTGCATATACCTTTTGGCGTGGGTACATAGAGTTTTGTTCTGGGCTAAAGCCATTATAGAAAGGAAAATCACCACTAAACTGGACTCGAATCAGCAGATTTTCGGATAATCAAATATGGGGACGGGGTAAGTCCTCTTGTATTAGCTCCAGTTATATACTTACTGGTGGTTTTGATGTTGATTTTCCTGGTGATACTGATGATGGTGATGTTGCTGGAATTGAAGACGTTCGTTGTATGAAATCTGGTTACATGGAAACTGCACTCCTCAGACAAGTAAACAAGTGATCGATAGTGCGAACCTCGAAATCGGGCAAAGATTCTACTCAATCACTCTCGGTGACGTCGTGGAGATGTATCGCAAGATTAACGCCTTCTGCAATCTCTTGCGATGTCGCAAGTCGAACATAACTTCATAACATCGTATAACTATGTGTTTGAACGATGTATTTGAAGCCCCCTATGGGTTCAAAAAGTGAAACCTATTTCTGGTGTCCCCCGCCGTGATATCGCTTGGGTATTGCTAAAAGCGACGTAAAACTTTGTTCACTCACTCTTCAGTCAAACATACGAGTCTCACGGAACAAGCCTAGTTAAGATTATCAACGGATGCCTTCGTGAAGACTTAAAACGAGGGGCGGTTGGGTAGCCAAGTGGTAAGGGTGTTAGTTCGTCACGCCGAAGAGTGAGTGAGTGTGGTTTTACGCCGCCGCTTTTAGCAAAATTCCAGCAATATCACGGCGAGGGACACAGGAAAATGAGCTCCACACATTGTACCCATGTGAGGAATCAAACCCAGATCTTCGGTGTGACGACCGAAATCTTTAGCCTCTAGGCTACCCCACCGCCCTTAACGCCGAAGACCCTGGTTCGACTCCCAAACATACACTGTAGTTAAATTGTGGTGAAGCCAATTTCTAGTGCCCCCCCGCCGTGAAACTGATATAAAGCGAAAAGGTGCGTAAAACCATACTCACTCACTCTCTCACTCACTTAAACCAAAAACAGTATTTGATGAATAACACCACCACCAACCTACATCGTAATATCGTAGAAATTTCCATATGTAAACCTGCGTTTTACATATGAAGTCAAGTGTATTATGCACCATCTCGCTACATCACACCGCCCTCACCTGTAGTAGCACTTTGAGTCGTCACCACCATGACACCGACTAACAACACCAACATCGGAATCATGGCTCGCATTGTCAGTTCTGAATTGAAAGTAGGAATCCTGTAAAAACAAAACACGGATTTTAGATTCAACTCGGTTTTCAGTGTCTGAATGCGTCATTAGTGGGAAATACTTTTTCGTGGTCAAATTACCCACAATCTGTAAAATAAATCTCCAAGGTTATGTTTGATGATGTAAAGCAAAGGAAAATCCATTAACAATACTTTAAAGGGAGACAATTCTCAAACAGTTACTCTCAGTCGTCTGTCCGGCGCCATTTTCCGGCGCCATTTTAATTGAAGTTTACTCTATATATTCAAAACAGCAACGACCCTGCAAATTGCATATAAATAAAAGCGACAAAACCCTTTCCATATTCATAAGCAATCTCTGCCAAAAACGGAATCGAGTGTACGATTTGATTATATAACTGAGCATATGTTAATAAATCACTATCAAAAACTGACGACACCGGGTGTTCGCGAAATACAACAATTTTACTTCTCCATTCTTGTCATCCATGTTTCATTTTAAAGCTCTACACCTGTGTATTTGTCGTCATTCACTTGATGCTTGTTCATGACTTTATTACAGGTATAAGTAGTGTTGGAACCACTTACAAAGTGCAAAATAACTCAAGAACGTTCACCCCGGCCTCAGAGGGTGTCAAGGATATATAGCAATCAGCGGTTCACCTTTGGCATTTCTGGTGTCTGGGGCAATTACTCAATCTAAGATTTAGGTTATGATTCCGAGTCTGACGTGGCAAGTGTATCACAGGGTACATAATATACACGTGGCAGCGCAGCATGAGAGGAATGGTTAGTTGAGTTGCTGAAATAAACGTCGACCAAAGGATTAGCCGATAATACATTGATTGATTAATCACTGTTATCTCACACGGTGGACTTGTCATAAGTAGGTCTTTATATACGTAGGTTTACTAAAGCAGACGAAATGCAGCCAGATCCTGGCGTGAAGTGCCGATGTTAAAACAACATACTTTGTCGATAATATGCTGTTGTTTTTGTTGTTGTTTTGTTGTTGTTTTAATTATTATTATTATTATTTTATTATTATTATTATTATTATTATTATTATTATTAACTACAGTTTAAAATACAAATTAAGCAAAGAGGGTTTGGGTGATCCTGGCACGGTTAGGCTGGTTAGGCTCATCATCAGCTCAGGGCCCTTGCCCCCTCTACACGCAGCCCAGACAGCGAATGGGACTTCTCCCAGGAAGCGCTGCCTAGAAAACCCACCCAGAACTTTTTCGGAGAATGTGAAGACTCCCCAACACTACAGCCTTCTGCATTACCCAGATTGTCAGAAGGTCTGTATTTCTGGTAGCAAATCCGGGTACTCTCCCAATGTCAGTCAACAGATTGGGAGGTACCAAACCTAAGGCACCGAAAACAATGGGGAGTCGGGCAATTTGGTACTTGGGACGCAAGCGTGACATTTCAAAAGCGAGGTCTGCATATTTGCCACGTTTTTCCTGAATATTGTCAATAACATTAGTGTCAAAAGGGACAGAAAAGTCAATGATATAAGATATTTTCATTGGATTTATCAAAAAGGACAAGATCGGGTTTGTTGGCCTGGATACGTCTGAGGCTGTAACCGGGCCTATTCAAAAGAATTTGGTATTTATCATGACGACCTCTACATATTCCTGGTCGTACCATGGATGGACCTCTGTGACGAAGGTGAGGTTAAATGGGGTTTAACGTCGCGTCCAAGATTATTGCACTTATATAGCGACGTGCATGTACGTGTGTGTGTTTGTGTGGCTGCTTGTACTAGTCCGGACTGATGCCGATTTATAGTGCTAGCACACTGGGATACCATACACAGTATACTGACTCCGAGCCGACCAGTCCTTGTTTTAGCCCCTTAATGCCGAGCGCCAGACAGTGTAACAACAAGCACCATCTTTAAATGTCTTTTGGTATGACGCGGCCGTGGATCGAACCAAGGACCTTCCGCTCTCCGGGCGGACGCTCTACCACTAGACCACGGAGGCGGTCCCTCTGTGTCAAAACCACAAGCATGGCGAAGACGGTAATAAAATGATCGATCTGCACCATCATGTCGTTTAAGATACTGTGTTTGTGCCAAAGCTGGGCATCCACTGATAATGTGTTGGACAGTCTCATTAAATTCATTACATAATCTACATTTCATATGGGGCGGTCGGGTAGCCTAGTGGTTAAAGTGTTCGCTCGTCACGCCGAAGACCCGGGTTCGATTCCCGACATGGGTACAATGCGAGAAGCCAGTGCCTGGTGTCCCCCGCCTTGATATTGCTGGAATATTGCTAAAAGCGGCTTAAAACAATACATTTCATATCTTCATTTTGATGCAAAATCACACATTGACGGTTTCGAGTGGGAAGTGACTGTTTCACTTTTCAGGCCAGCCGACCTCATCCAAGCGAAGGACTCTGCAGGGTTGCTG